CATAAAGAAAAATATTTTATGTATCAGATCATACTACAGAGATATGTTATTGGGAGAATTAAATGAGGGAATTTAAAGTTTTTTTATAATAATTAAGAGAAGTTAAAGAAATAGTATCCTTTTAGTTTTAATATAATTAATGTGATTAAGAGGAAAAATGATTTGACTTTTGAGCTTTTATAATATGAAACTGAGAATTTTTTTTATTCTTTTCATTAAATAATTTGTTTATTAATTACAAGTTTTAAAAATACTAAAAAGATGATTTATTTATTTATTCTATGACTGTTTTTTAATATGATAAACCATATCATATATTTTTAGGGGCAATACTATATAATAGCTGTGAGAAATGTATCATGGGTAATATTATATCTTTCAACAGTGGCATAAATTTATAATACTAATTAGAAATTGATAAACAAATATACACAAAAATAAAATTATATAATTTTTCATCTTCATTATTCACATAATAATAATAATAATAAGAACAACGTTATATCATATATGAGTAAAAAAATGCTAAGCTTTCTAATATGTTGGTTAGTAGAGTTTCACAATTTAATTTTTGGTGCATGAAAGGAAGATATATATCTAATCAAAATAAAATAAAAAAGAATAGAATAATATTAATTGAAATCAAAACAATACATGAATGAATCTTCAAAATATTGAAACCATTTAAACTTTTGTACTTATAATATGACCATCTCTCTTGATGAAATCTTTCAAGATCATTAAGCTTCTTCTTCATTTTGATGAACTTGTACCAAACTAATGTGAACATCTATGTGATGAATCTTGAAGAATATATCTAATGATGAATTTTTAATTAATATATCTATGATCTTTATCAAAATGAAGACCATATGGTGACATTATTAAGTACATCATTGATGAAAAAGATGATGAATTTTTTTTTTTAAAAAAGGAAAAAACTATACTAATAAAAAGAAAGAATTAGAAAATGAAAATAAACATTCAACATCTCCATAGATAATTGTTATTCATATATTATGTAAACCATAAGTATAGTTAGAAATGATTTGAAGAGACATGTTATTTAAGTAGGGAAAGTTAATAGTTGGAGGTTTTTTTTTGTAACTTATTAGATATAATTAGAATAGTAAATATGATTGAATTTTTTTAATTAAGAAATTAATTGTTTAATGAAAAGGAATGAAGAAAACAAAGGAGAAAAAAGATAAATAGGAATGGAGGCCATAGAGAGGTGCCACATCACCTTGTCTATGTTTTTCCTATATATATATATATATAATTCAAAGGTGGATTCCTCTCGATATTTCGATTCTTTTGATATATAATTTGCTGGAAATAATTTATATTTATGATAAGCCAAATTTTTAAATAAAGTTTTGAAACGTTAATTAGTGACTGATTGATCATAGAAGAAGAAGGAAGGAAGACTGATAGTAACAAAGAGAATAAAGGAATGAGGATGAGGAGGAGGAGGAGGAGGGAGGAGGGAAGGAAGGAAGAAAAAATCATTAATGGCGAGACTAGAAGTAGCTTTGGACATTTGTTAGCTATAGTATGATCTTTAACCTACGTTGACATAAGTAGCTTTGGACATTTGTTAACTAAACTTATAGTTTCTCGGTGTTAACCATTACTACAAAAATCATCATGAATAACTTAAGCTCTTAAATATTAATTTGGCATAACACCCATGAAAAAAACATGTTTGGCTTGAAAGCGCATACATTATAATTTGAATTATATATGTACATATGTTATAGAGATCATAAGAGATACATGTTTGACTTAAAAGCCCATAATTCATAACATGAATAATACATATATTTTGTTGGGAAACTTATATAGATATTCGTTCTTTTTTACTTTGCGCCATTGATTCTACTATTTATAGCTATTAACTTGACGCCAAAAAAGAGTTCAACCCAATACTTTATTTCTGTCCTAGTTGATCCTGATTCGATATTAAAAGTATATTAATTTTCCCCCAATAACCATATACTTTAATAAAATATAATAATTTCCCCCCAATAGTTCATAAGGTAAATTCATCGCAAAACTTTTTGAACAATTCATAAACCAAAAATCATCCCTTTCTGCAGGATCCGACTCCCCTCCATTACCCCTTCCCTCCATTTCGTCAAGTGTACATCTAGATGAGAGACATATGTCTTATTTAAAGTTTAAAGGTCAAAATTATATTATATTAACAAATATCATAACCATAGTTGAGTCAACTAATTTTAGAAAACTGCTCTCCAAATTTGATAAGAATTACTTCTATACGAAATTTAATATTTATTAATATCATTAGTTCATCTTAAATTTGTATATTTAAATATTAAAATATAAAAATTCTTCTCACCATATTAGTTAATAGCTTTTGAAAATCAGTTTTTGCTATTTACGTATTTAATTTCCTCTCGAGATATATAAATGACAAAGAAAATTTTTAATTCCTCCGACACATTTGCAATTTCTTCTTTACTCTCTCTTTTCTATTTTTTTTTTTCTTTTAATTTGTTGGGCAGATGTTAGTAAGAATTGGATTTTACCAATAGGTGGGTAACAATATATGACCAACGTTACCTTGCTTTACAATATATTCCATACAAAATTTGATATTTATTAATATCATTAATGTCATCTTATATTTTTATATTTGAAATTAATGATATCAATAAATATCAAATTATAAAAATTTAATATGAAATTAATAACATTAATAAATATCAAAATTTGTATGGAATATATTGTAATTCTTACTAAATTTAGAGAGCAGTTTTCTAAAATTAGTTGACTTAACTATGATTATGATATTTGTTAATATAATATAATCTTGACCTTTAAATTTTAAATAAAACATATGTCTCTTATCTAGACGTGCACTTGACAAAATGAAGAGAAGGGATAATGAAGGGGAGCCGGATCCCTTTCCGCACGGCATGGGGGCTTTGACCTGTCCTCATAGCATTATGTCATCTACGTCCCCCGCATGTAATAAAGTGGGGTCTCATAAATAGTCATGCGCATATTTCTTATTTTATAACTAATTTCTTGAATATAATGCGCATGCCAACAACATATATCATCAAAATCCCCCACACCCCTACACTTGTACTAATGGTCAACCATATACCCTTTTTTTTTTCCTACTCTCTAATTTGTTATTATCTATGCATGTATTAAATAAAAAATTCACTTATGTAACAACTAGCATGGCTCAACATATTATTTTTTTAAATTTAAATGATTATCGGAACTTGATATCGTACTATAATTTAAAATACATTTGGGTCAAATCATTCCTAATAGTTACAAAAAGAATCTTGATCCTGAAGACCGGATATGTTTGTTATATCCTTTACGATTTGTTTAGAAATAATCAATTTACGGAGTGGTTGGATTAACTTGTAAAATTTAAGTATATATATATATATATGGTATAACTTGTAAAATTTAACGATAATTGTATGAAAGTACAACCTACAATATTATGTTGTATCTATGCAGCTAAGTTTTCAAATTTTCAATTGCATAGCCTATTAATAATTTTATATAGTAATGTTCATAAATTTGATATATAATAATACTATACACTAAGTATATATAATATATACAAAACTTCAAGTTTTTTAACATTAATATTTTAAAAAGCAATATACAATATTAACTATATACAATTTTAAAGGTGTTTATACATTTATATACAATATTATACATTATTATATATAGCTAATTTCATCTTTTTCTTGAATGCAAGCACCAAAGTCCTACTCCCCCCCCCCCCCCCTCCCCCCAAAAAAAAAAAAATTACACAAAAACACCTCTAAATTCATATTTAGGATCTTCAATAAATATCCAATTTGTTGCCATAATAACCACTCGAAATGAAACTTATTTGTAGAAACCTATTTTTTCAAAACTAGCAGTTTCGAGGTTCAATAAATCTACCTTTGGAGTTTTTGCTCCTTGTTCATGTTCTCGGCCTTAAATTAATGAATAATATTTTTTAGCTTTAAAGATCATTATTGTTCAACAAATTCAATTCAATAAATTCGAACTCCTTAGAACATAACAACAATTTATATACATTTTTTCCAGATTTATTATTCAAATGAAATCAACTGAAATAAGCTACTCTCAAAACAGAGAAAACATATCTGAAAATTGTAGATCAAAGCAATGATCAGATTTTTGTTCTATTTTCTTCTTCACACATTCGATCGAACAATGAGCCAATTTGCACAAGATTTTGAATATAAATCAATTTTAGTAACATTGTTATTTCAGTTGTATTTGCTTGTAATTATTTCTAAAATTTATAATTCTATGCTTATGATCAATTTTCCATTTTTTTCTTTGTAGTAAAAGAAAAATTCTCCTAGAATTCTCATGGGAGATATATAGGTTCTAAAGTGAGAATATATATATATATATATATATATAATAAAAACAAGCTAAGTCAATCACTAGTACTCCTGTTTTTTTGTGGCATGCCCGCAACTTCCACTCGTTGATATAATTAAATAATTGGAGCAAGTCGATAAGATAATTAAATAGATTTTTTATTATTTTTTTAAAACATAGTTTAAAATAAAAATCAGATTTCAACAAAATTCAATGAAAAAATCATTCAAATTGATTGAGTAACTTTCTAAGTAAAATATCAATAGTTGAGTGATTTTTGAGTTATAAAACAATGTTGAGTGTCTTTCTAAGTGAACAATCTAAGTTAAGTGACTTTGTTAGTGAACTATTCAAAATTGAGTGAGCATACGAAAAAATATTTGACTTTTGTTCATATCCATTTTGATAAAAGGAAATAACTATTAAATTAAACTATTCTTATTTCAAAAAAAATAATTAAAAGAGGGATTCTGCATTTAATTTAATTTAATTTTAAAAAAAAGGGCACTTTTGTCAGGTAGTAGAATTTAGCTATAAAAGGGTACTCACGTTAAGCATCCTGTATCATCCATCACACCAAACTTGTTTTTATTAATCCTTGCTCCCAAACGTTTCTCTACTTAGATCTAAAAAAACTGATATTCTTCTTCTTTACTTTTAAGTTTTTAGAGCACTATGGGTAGTGAAGCTTTGGAATTTTTTTCTTGTGATAATAATAATAATAATCATGGTTTTTGCTATGAACCAAAAAAGAACACAATTATGGAGGAAACTGATAATCTTTCCATTATTCATGATGGTTCTTGGTTTGAAGAAGAGATTGATGTTGATCTCAAATGGTCTTTTGCTTTGAACAGGTATATATATGTATATTTTCTGTCAATCTCCATTCAAATTGTTATGTTTTGTGTATAGAACTTAAATTCTATAAATAAAATCTGATTAAACGTTAGGATGTTATGAAACACGTTCACATCGACTCTTTAATACGTTTTATAATTAAATTCTCTTTTAAAATTGCTTATCTTCTTCCTATGTATCTTTTTTTCGTCATAGATTATTATATAAGCAACATGACTTGCCTACCATGGAGTATAGGATTTGAAGGGCAAGGGGGGGGGGGGGGGGGTTCTTTATCCTTTTTATATGATTAGATTAGACAAGAAAAACCAACTATATAAATGTTTACATAAAAATAAGTCAGATAAACATGAAAATAAAATTAAGTGAACAAATGAAGTAATTATTATTTCTTTATAAGTATTATTTTATCCGTCTCATAGTACTTTTTCATATTATTATGAATATATGTTGTAAATTATTTGTTATTTTATAAAATTAAGGTAAAATCAATTGATTTATTTTCATTTTGCTTTTAAAATTAATTATTTTTAAAAGTGTGAGCAATATCAATCATCTGCATAAATATTATAAAGTTTTTAAAAGTTCAATCATTATTATAATCTTTATATGTACACATTTTTGTCGAAAGAATTAATTATCTAAATTCTTTAACCTCCATTCATTTGTATATTTTATAGTCCCGTAAAAACTGTTTTTAAAAGAAAAACTTTTAAGGGTAAAATGAGGAAAACATAATTAATTTTATTTTGATCTTGTAAATTACAAGTAATTTAGGATAAATATTTTTAGTAATGTGGACAAGTAATATGAGACGGAGGAAACAATATGAAATTAATAAATTTAATAACGTGGACAAGTAATATAAAACGAAGAGAGTATCTTACTTAAAGATTTGGATAATTGCTTGGAATGGATTGACTAATTAATTTTGACTTTCTTGTTTTTACAAGTGTGCTGTATAAAGGAACAAGCGAGTACCAAGATATTGCTCTTTTGGACACCAAACACTTTGGGAAGGTAGATATAAATAATTTTTAATACTTTTTTTATTGGAAGAAAAATTAAAAAAAAGAGGTTGACCCAACTTAATATATAATATTATTGTTGTTATTAAAATATATGCATGCATTGTAGATATTGGTGATAGATGGGAAGATGCAGAGTGCAGAAGTGGATGAATTTATATATCATGAATGTCTCATTCATCCAGCTCTCTTATGTCACCCAAAGTGAGTATTTAATTAATCAATATAATGATGCCATTTAATTTGAGTATTATTAGCTAGCTAGAATTATACTATTTAACTAGTATAATTGGATTAGCTGTAACTACCATAATTAACTAAAAAGTGAATATTCTTATAATTATTATGTATAATAATAATGATGAATTTTGCAGCCCCAAAAATGTGTTCATAATGGGAGGTGGTGAAGGGTCTGCAGCAAGGGAAGCTCTTAGACACAAATGTATGGAGAAAGTTGTCATGTGTGACATTGATATGGTAAATTACTTACAAGGAAACATAAAGATGAATCGAACTATGCTTATTATTATTAATAAAGCAAACCAAACATTCACTAAGACATAACACTCAGATAACTAATCCCGACATTTCTAATTCCAACATAGCTAAACTCATCACAACTTATATACTAGTATATCCTTTTTTTAGTTTACGATCGAATGTTTAATAAGCAACACCTGAAATTCTTATTAAAAATTTCTAATAGAAATTATATTTACTTTGTTACAGGAGGTTGTTGATTTCTGCAAGAAACATCTAACAGCAAACCATGAGGCTTTTCTTCACAAGAAGCTAAACTTGGTCATTAACGATGCCAAGTAACTATTCTTTCTTTCTTGCTAGCTTACTTGATTTTCTTTTCAATCCTCAGGAGTAAAATGTATTCCCCTACAAGTAGGATGTAAGTCAATAGTTTGCAATATTATGAATTTTACCAGATTTTAGTGTGTCAAGATACGTCTAGATATATATATCGCAAGATAAATGAGTCAAGATTAGGTGTGATTTTTTCTAGATACATTGCATCCAAGTGAATTTACATGTATCTAAGATACATATATAGACAAATCTCGCTCGCCACTCTCATATCTCACTCACTCGTGTATCTAGTGTCCCAGATACATGTGAATTACACCATATACATATATATTGTGTACTGTATCTAGTGATTTGCATGTATTTGACTTGACATCTGGCATGAAATTCTTCAATAGTGAGATAAAACTATATGGAGAATCAATATATTATGATAGGAATATTTGCATAATTAGGTAGTTGCTTCCTTAATTTATGGATATATGTCCTCGAGGGTGTAATTAGTAATTGAAGTTGGCTTTATCGTATGTTGTTGAGTTACTCTCATTACTGGTTTGATTTTGCATGAATAATAAAGAGCTGAGCTAGAGCAGAGGCAAGAAAAGTTTGATATCATAGTTGGGGATTTAGCTGATCCAGTTGAAGGAGGACCTTGTTACCAACTCTATACCAAATCTTTCTATCAAAATATCCTTAAACCTAAGCTTAACGATACTGGCATCTTCGTTACTCAGGTTATCTCTCATTCTTCGTTATTCTCGCATCTATAATATATATATATATATATATCGACTCATATCAACTGATCGCGCCAAAAATGTTATTGTTAATGTATAACAGGCTGGACCAGCAGGGGTTTTTACACACAAGGAAGTTTTCTCATCCATTTACAACACAACCAAGCAGGTTTTCAAATGTAAGTCTTACCAACTTCGTAAGAGAAAATTATAGTTTTGATAATTTTTTCTTACATAATGTGTTATGTTGATGCAGATGTGCTGGCATATACAGCTCATGTACCCTCATTTGCTGATACTTGGGGATGGGTTATGGTTAGTACTGATTATTAGGATTTACTCCAAATTAAGAAATTAATTGAATATTGACATAGCAATAGTTATGACATTATTTGATACCAATTGCAGGCTTCTGACCAACCATTTTGTCTTGATGCTGGAAAATTGGACAAGAAAATAGCAGAAAGAATTGAAGGAGAATTGTTATATCTTAATGGTGCTTCATTCTTCTCTTCCACCATCTTGAACAAGACTGTTGCCAAAACGTAAGCTCCATTAACAATTTCTTCTTCTTTTAATCAATAAAAGCCTTTGGCGGAGCCAGCATCAGGAGTTAGGGGTTTGAACCCATAACTTCAGTGTGGAAAGTGTTTCCATGGGTCATTCCTAACTACTGAGTTGTCAATCAATTTTGTTATGGAAAAAACCCCCGAACCCTCACTTAGCTCCGCTTCTAATTCCACCAATTTTTTATTTTTTTTTGGTTTAACAAAAAAATATTGTTTTACTTTAATGTCAACAGGCTGAAGAATGAGAGTCATGTGTATACTGAAGATGATGCAAGGTTCATTCATGGGCATGGATTGGGATGTAGAAATTGAGGCAACAAGGTTTTCTGATGGGGGAACTGTACAGCCAAATGTTTGGGTAACAAAGGAATATGAAGTAGGGGTGGGAGGGGGTGAGGGGGTGGTGGTGGTGGTGGTTGAAACATTAATGTTTTCTTAAAGATATTGGTTATTTAGTAGCTTTTGATTTGGTCAGCAGCATAGGCTTAGGCTTATTCTGATTGTCCAAAGACTATATTTACTATTTCATGTAATGGCAAGATTTAAAAGAAGAAAAAACATTTTCTATCACTGTCTTCTTTTTATTGTGTTTAATTACAAGAACCCCTACACCCCTTCACAATTTATTAATTATTTCCTCGGTTCTATATTAACTGAATTTTTTGGGTTTTTTTTTCATTATTCAAAGTTCAAGATGGTATTTGAATTTTTTTCCATATTTCTCTTTTTCTTTAATTAAGTTAGATATTTTCTAGGAGATAAATTGCACTACTTTCAAAGTTGTATTTATGATTTCACAAAGAACAATACTGAAAAATATGATTTAAATTATCTCCTTAAATATTTTTCTTAATAAATGTGCATTGCCTAAGTAAAATAAGGCTAAAAATATGTACCCAATATTTATGAGAAAAACTCATCAAAAATCACCTATAACAGACCTTTCTAGCCCCCAAATTGTCAAAAATATGAAAATGGGTTCGAGTATATTTTTAACTCAACGATTTCGTCACAAAAACCCAATTTCTGCCGCTAAAAGTCTATTTTTCTGTCGTTAAAAGTGTCCACCAGCAACCTTTGAAACATCATTTTGATCCTCGAAACAAAAAATTGTCGTTAAAAGTTCATCCAAGCTCATGGTTATCAAATCCTTTGCTTCTCTAATTGCAGTGACCTTGATCTCCCATGACCTAGGTAGAGTCCTCAGCACTTTATCCACATGTTCCTCAGTAATATATATTTTTCCCAAAGACACCAGTTCATTCACAATAGTAGTGAATCTAGTAATCATATCTTGAAGTGATTCACCACTCTCCATCTTAAATGCTTCATATTCAGTGGATAGTCTAGCAATTCTAAATTTTCTTACTTAGGGAGTTCCTTCATGTGCATTGACTAGTGTGTCACAAATTTGTTTCGTTGTAGTACAACTAGAGATGCGATTGAACTCGTCAGGTCCAAGTCCACATATAAGGATGCACTTAGCTTTAGCATTCTTTGTGAGTATTCTATAATCAGCTTCTCCATATTGAGCCTTGGGCTTTGGAATGACTTTCCCTTCACCATCCTTCATCATAGGAATAAGAGGACCATCTGTAACTCTCATCCATAATTCATAGTCATGGGCTTGTAGAAAATCTTCCATTCTCGCCTTTCACCATACGTAGTAATGTACATTGAATAGTGGTGGTATGTTCATGTGTTGACCTTCACTGTGTCCAAGAGGAGGTGTAGAATTCATAGTGATCTTATTTTGAGTTATTAGACTCTACAAAGATAACCTGCTATGATACCAATTGTTGAAATACTGACCCGCAGATTTGCCTAAGGAACAAGTATATTCTATATGTTCCTTTGCAGATTACAACAGTTACGTTATGTAAAGCAAATAAAGTAATGACACAATATTTTATCGCGAAATACCCCTGCTTATAAAGGGTAAAAAACCACGACCTACACCTCTGTAGGATTTAACTCCATTTCATTAAACTCTAAGTCTCAACAAAAGATTACAAACCTATGTGACCAAAAGAATTATAAACTATAATTCCTAGACGTTAACAACCAACTAGATCGTCGACTCCACTCAAAGTTATGAATTCAGATTACAACTCTTGCAATCCTAGGAACTAACTCTAATTCCTAAACTCCAACACAAACCCCCCAAGGTTTATGTTCCCAAGTCTTTAAGTCGCCCCAACTTGAAGACTTTATTCCTACTCCAGTTTATACTTCACTGGATCTAGAAAGAATTAAAAATACAACTTGATAAAAACTCAATACAAGCAAACTTGACTTAAGAACTATAAAACATAAGCCTATGAACCAGTTCTTCAATTCTTCTTTCCTTGTGTTGGTTGCACTTCGTAATAAAAAATCACTCAAGTTTGAACTCTCTCTATTTGATTGTATTTTGCTTGTAACTCAATATTTAAGTGCGCGCGTTTCGTTGGAAGATTCTTGCTCTATTTATAGACTAAGTACACCAAGAATCCTTTTCCTATTTCAACTATGTTTCCTTATCCGTGTGGAATTTTGAAATTCTTGTAAAATAATTTTATGCACGCTTCCTCTTCCTGGAAGGAATTCTTTTTATGAAAGTAAACCTTTTTGCACTGGTTTCTTATCGAAAAAGCAACCCTTCCACCGCTTTATTACTTCTAATTCGCATGGTTGACGTTCTCCGTATTCCAGTCGGATTCAGTCTGAAAGGAACATGTCGGCGCAACCGGTTCCTTTCATCTGTTCCTCTATTTGTCAATTATCAAAATCTTTCTCGATCTAACAAATTTCCCCTTTTTGATGATGACAAACCATTGCTTCTTGTGTGAATAGATCAATATGTGTTATGTCAGTTTCTTAAAGCACAACACGCAAAGAAAACACATTAGAGGATCAAGTTAGACCAATTGGGTTATAAATATTACACAAGCATGCTCTTCCCCCTTTTGACATCATAAAACACCGTGAAGGCATACACCACACTAAGAGAAACAAATTTGATACTCATGGCCACTGGGGCTATCACCTACACAAACACTTAAAAATCAAGAACTCAGTTAGCTATAGCAAAGTATTTGCACAAACATAGGAGATAGACATGAACCTGAAACTCAAACTCAACATTAGCATTAATCAAAAAACATATACACCACAAACGTAATCAAAATTAAAGATAGAATCAAGCACTTGTGATAAGAAAAAAATTGGGAAGTCAAAGGCTAGAGTGGCCAGGTAATAGCAAAAGATCAGGCATGAGAGAGTAAATGAAAGTCCTTTTTCAGCAACACAAAAAACATCGCACTTAGAATCTCCAAGAATGTCATTAAGAACCATAAATTGTAATTAATCAAGCATGACATGTTTTTTTTTTTTGAAGAACACTTTATTCCACAATTTTAGAAAAAGAGGATTTCTTGGTTAAGAAGTTTATGAAAGAGAAGGGTGTGAGTTGTAGAGACACACTAGGATAAGGCTTTAAATAGGCTTTTTAAGAATATGTTTGTTTAGTAGTATTGAGGACATGAATATATCTTTTGGGACAAGTGGAAGGAACAGGTACATGTGCATTGATTTTATATTTAATTAAGAATAATTGTAGTGCACATACCTTAGATCTCTGAAAAATGTTGAACTTTGATCCAATTTACTAAGCCTTTCTCCTGTAACAGATGCAAATACAATGTTATAGTGCATGAGTAGCTTGGCTTTAAAAGTGGTATAGAGACATACAACTAAATGTACAAGACTAAGCATAAAATTCATGATTGGGAGGCAATATGTGCAATGTTCATTAGCCACCGAGGGATACTCATGTGATTTGAATCATCCCCAAGCTCCAACATGTTCCTTTAAAAGTGTTTCTTTAGTCTTGCCTACTTTTCCAACTTCTTTGATTTGACCAAAAAGAATTTTCACCACAAAAAATAATATTTCATCCTTTTCTTCTACAGGTGAGAGGAATTTCTTCTAGTTTCAATCATGTGTCTCAAGCAACAGGTGTTCATATAGAATGTTGATTGCTTCCTCTCACTTTTCCTGCAAATTCAAAGGTTAGATTTAGGAACCCAGACTAACTTGGGTCCTTTGTATTAATAAAAAAGGATGAATGAGATCTCTATTGATCCATACTGGTAAAACATTTTTAGATATTTTTTCTTTTGCCTCAACTTGTTCCTTTGACATGATTCCTTTCTTTTAACAGGGTTGATTTTTCTATTTGAGGTAGCTTTGAAGTTTTTATTCATATGAGTTATAACTATTGGGCAGGTACCCCTTGAGTGACCAATACTACCACAATGTATGCATAAATAAGAGGTTTTCTTAGGGACTTCTTTAACAAAACATATTTCAGCTTTAGTGTTATGTATTCTATTATTGAGTTGAGTCACAATCATTGAGGACAAAGTCCATTTGTTTGCCCTCTCAAGCTCATACTTAGTTCTAGACAGGTCAAGATTTATCCTTCTAGATTTTCCCCTTTCAGAAAATAGTTCATCTTTTAACCTCTTTAGATCTTGGTCACATCTGATTTGGTCACCACTAATTTTTTCTTTCCCATTCCCAATAACACTTTGTTTCAAAATTTCAGATTTGAGAGCCAAAGTGCAGGAATCAAGTTGTTGTACTTGTTCCTTAAGGAATTGATTTTCTTTCTTAACATCATACTTAATTCTTTCAAGATCAATATATTCAAATTTTAAACTGGTCAAGGAAGTCAATAACTGATCTCTATTTTCATTGAACTCTTGAAAATTATCTATGAAAGTTAAAATAAGGGAAGATAATTTTTTCTTTGAAAAATATTTTAGTTTATTTTTAAGGTCAAGAAGATTTACCTACCTTTTATAAATGTCCGATTCAGAGTCTGGTTCAGAGTCCTCCATGGCCATCAAAACAACATCTTTTGTATCATCTTCAATTGAGTTGTTTGAACCTGTTCCCCAAGCAACATACATAGCAATGTCAGATTCTTTTTCTCTGCTTGGGGACAATTTTTTCTCATAGTCTACACCTTTCATGAGGAGCTTTCTGAGATTTTTGTTGATCACGACTATGTCCTCATCATTCAGATCAAATTTATCACTCTCAGTTGCCTTGAAAGAAAAAAATCATATCTTTGCTTCTTTTACTAATTTTTGTGTTATCAACATTCATCTCGTAAGTCTTTAGATTTCCTACAAGTTCATCCAAGCTCATGGTTGTCAATTTTTTTGCTTCTCTAATTGCAATGACCTTGATCTCCCACGACCTAGGTAGAGTCCTCAACACTTTATCCACCTGTTCCTCAGTAGTCTATATTTTTCCCAAAGACACCAGTTCATTCACAATAGTAGTGAATCTAGTAATCATATCTTGAAGTGATTCATCACTCTC